CCCTTAAACTACATTTGTTGGACCGAAGCCGTTTTTCTTTCCTTACAGTTTCACACTACTTTATATTAATAAGTAGTATAAGTTGTACCTCGTATAAAATAGTGTTTTAATTGGCCATTTTCGTATGACTGAATCCGTTAAATGTGATAACACTCGATTTTGCTGGTAGTTATTTTCATCTTGTAATGGCCATGCTTAATCTCCTCCTGAATTATGTCTTTTGGGAACTCTGATAATTGGGTGATTTCGATACAGTACCGTGACTGTGATTTCACGGTTTTGGGATAAATTGACTTAACGATTAGAGGTTTTCAATGCATATTTATTACTACTATTTGTAATACAGGAACGTATTTTGTACAGATCCTGTGCTCTGGATTTTATGTTTCTCTAAAACATTTGGTTTATTTAATCAGACCTTCATTAACAGTTGTCTTCGCTTAATACTCAAGATCAGATGGCCAGCCAGAAAAGATCAGAAACAGGGATCTCTGGCAATGAACGAACCAACCAAGCAGGAACCGATTGTGAAACAAATAAGCAGGGAAAAATGGAGGTGGATTGGCCATACTCTGAGGAAACCATCAAGTGACATCACTAAACAGGCCATAGCTCGAGTGGAACCTGAAAGGGAAGCGGCGAGTTGGTCGTCAGTGCGAGGGTGACTTGGAGGAGGTCATGTGAAGAGAAGATGAAAGCATGTGGGCAAACTTTGAGCGGGGTGAAAAAGTTGGCAGAAAACAGAAGGCAATGGAGACGTGCAGCTGAAGCCCTATGTTCCTCTAGGAATTAAAGGATATAATAATAATAATGATAATCAAAAGTTTGATAGCATTTTATCGTTGTAGATTTCTTAAAAGAAACCTTTGGGAATGATTCTAAGCAGTGTCATTAATGGTCTCCAACCATCGCTTCTTCATATCCTGAGGTTCCCAGTCAGGCGAGCTACAAATCCCTGTGTAGATCAAACCAACAATCAACTCACTACTATGTCAGCTAACATTGCTTGTCAAGGAAGTCAGGAGTTCAGTGGGTGTAACACATGTTCTGCTCATCTCGACTGATGATTTAATTTCCCAGTATTCAGTCATCCCCTACACACCAGTTTCAGCGCTCACTTCAATGTGAAGTAAATTTCTTTTCAGAACTGTCCATAAATGATATAACTATCTGTTCTGACTACCTTTACTGTGATTGGTTGTCTTCAGAAGCTTTCTTATTCGTGTTTGAATTTGTATTGTTATCAGTTTTTTTCGTTGACTATCAATAAAGAACAAGTCACGTGAAGAAAGCGGTTAAAGACGAAGTCAAAGAAATTATCGTCACCAGTAAGAAGACTTTTGAAGACAAGCAGTTATAGTTGGGACAATCAAAAGACAGACAGTGATATCATTCATAAAGAATTCTAAACTGGTTTCACTTCACATTTAGTGATCGATGAAGAAGTAATATAGAGAAAGAAAATTAAAAAGCTTCACAAGTGAACTGCCTTGGTGAGAGAACTCTTCCGCATGTGAAACAAATCCATTCAATTAGTTCTGGAAAAATATATTCAAACTCTGATTTTGACCTCTGTGGTTAAATAATGACCAGGTGGTGGACGAACCAAAAGTATTTAAGGTGATTGATCGTATCCCATTGCATGTTTCCAGCAAACTTGCTGTTCATCTGTTGCACATAGCTAAGAATATTTACATTTAAGACTAACATTTATACACTGCATTCAAGGCATCCTCTTATGTAATTTTAATTCTTTTCTTATCACAATTTTTGCGTCTCTTTCATATTCTTAACGTATCACTCAAATTCGGTTTCACTCTTTCCTTGGCATTTTGGCAATGCTCAATCTAACTAATATTTGTTTAATAAATTAAATATTCCCATAATTTATTCAGAACAAAATATTTAGAGCAAACAATTGTGGTTTCAATAAATTCTTCTTCAGGCTCTACAATTATAAATCCATTAATGTAAGCATACAATAGCCGATAAAGGCGAATTAGAATCATATCAGAAAGTGTATTGTGGAACAAGTATAAGATGGGATGAAACAATAGTCATATAGTTTCTTAATATGCATGGCCAATAACAACATGGGACAGAATGAGATGAAATAATTTAATTTAATGATGTGTGTATATATATAAATATAGTTAACAGAAAATACAGGTTTCAAGAGTGAGTGTAATCAGGGTGTGTGAGGCAAAATGAAAATAAACCAACGAATGGGGCGGTCTAGACTTAAGTTCAAGGTTGAAAATAACAACAATAAGAATGATTGTAAAATAATAACGATGATATGGTGTAAAATTAAAATTAAATGTACTATTGGTGAATGATTGTCAAATAATAATAATAATAATAATGAATATAATGAAGTGGAATGAACAGGATTTTGTAAATACGATAGCAAGTTAGAAAAGCACTATTTAAACCCAAGGTAATAAAATCATAAGAAAGGTCATGAAATCATAAAAGTCGAAAATGAACGTTCGTCAATGAAACAGAGGAATAGAAGAAGGAAAAGAAAAGAAAATTGTGAAAGGAATTTATGGTGTTAATGGAGGATTTGTTGGCTTTATTGTAGGCCAAGGTAAACATAGAGGTTGAACATACTTCTTCTGTATGCAGAGGGATGGTCTTCTGGTATTAATTGCAACTGCTTCAGCTACTGATAGAAGATGTAGTCGAGCTCCTCTAGATAAATTACCAGGAACGCGGTAAATAACTGAGAACGCTTGGTCAAGTTTTATCGGCTGTCCAGTATCTACCAAGTGGGCTAAGACTGCACTATTTATGCCTTTGGTTACTCCTTTACTCAACCATACAGGTACATGTTCACGTGCGCGCATGGATAAAGCCCTCTGAGTACGGCCAATATAACTAGCTCCACATGAGCAGTTGAATTCGTAGATGCACATTGATGAGTCCATCTTTGGTAATTTATCCTTTACTTGCTGTGTGAGTACTGGTTTAGTTGAGAAGTTTAGTACCAATTTCTGATATAATTCTAATTCGCCTTTACTGGCTATTGTATGCTTACATTAATGGATTTATAATTGTAGAGCCTGAAGAAGAATTTATTGAAACCACAATTGTTTGCTCTAAATATTTTGTTCTAATATTTATTTGCTAGGCTTTGATCTACTAGGCCTGTTTTGAATGTTTGTTAGTAGAGCCATCCTGGTGTGAATTTCTTCCGATGGAAATTCGGAACGATTATCGAACGAATATTAAAACCACACCTTGAGTGACGCGTGAAATTTTTTTTTTTTGATTTACAGCTTGATTCCACACTGTATTTTTGGTACAAGTATGGAATTTTCAGCATGGATATGGGTAGTCCTAATTCCGCAGGCCGACCATAGATATTGTGTATTCGTCGGCAGCGGATCGGATACGGTAAACTTAAGATATGAAATATTATATAAAAACCTCATCTGTGAGGTGTCTGTGTCTGAATTTTGTTAAAAAGCACAGTCGATGTACATCAATAAGTAAAAAAAACAGAGCTGTGTCAAAGGCGATCCACGTGTTACTCAAACAACGCGCGAATGCCAAATACTGGATAGGGGGATACAGATAAACGATGTTCAACAGTAAAGGGTACACGAATGAAGCACATACAGCAAATAATGTTCGACTATAAGAAAATGGTCACCATACATTTAATAGATTAGTAATACATCGAGTAAGTTAAGCTTCAACAAGATATAGACACATGTTTATTAATTTACAGATATACTCATACTACTTACTAGATACAAGTAGTATATATTTTTAACACAAAAAAGAGTTGACTAGGGGCAGACAGCAAGCTAATCAACTCCTGGTGTCAGTATTGCAAGATGCTATGTGCGACTGACTGATGTCATCCAGTAGTTGGAATTTTTATACTACAAACAGTAGTGCTTCTGGGTAGATTGAAGCAGTTTGGCTCCTGGACAGGCACTTGGTAGGTCTAAGACAATGCTGACCAGGTGGTTTGAAATGACTCGGTTCCATGAGCATAGCTTATCCCAGTAAACCACTGACGAGCTCAGACTCACAAGTGAAATTTTCGTCCGTTGATTAGAACACTTCAATCTGCCTATTAAGCACTACTTCTTGAGCCCAGTGGCTTCCATTTGTTCAGAATGATCAGCAATATGTGTACTATTGTACAACGTTATTTGCTTTCTTGATCGTTGTTTCCAGTACCAATCAGATCAGCCAATATGATCTGAATATTTCATGTTTCCATGGGAGAATTCTCTCCTCATAGTGTATAATTTGTAAATGACCAGTTTAATTCTATATTCATCATGCCTATCATTACATATTTCATGACTACACACTATTATTAGGAAAACTATTGTTATCATGACTTAGTGAATAGTTCATAGCACAAACTGCCGTTCTTTTGACTGAGGACTATGATTTGATTGTATGTAATACAGGTGTTTAAAGTTATCTATGTCTTTAAGTCCAAAAAATCTAACTAAAGCCAATATTGTTCAGCCAGATGCTTTGTTTCGAATTACTCGTGAAATCTTTGATGCTTATCATTTTACTTTCACATACTTCCTTCTCAGTATCAGTGAATTACATGGAAAACTGCTTTCATTCTCTACTGCTAGTGGTTGATATTAAACCATGGCACAGAAAGTTCCTTTTTATTGAAACGTATGAGCACTACCACTCAGTGTTTGTGGTATGAGCCTTTGAGGTTGGTGACTTTGACCTAGAACAAAATGCACATCATGGGTGCATCCCACTCAACTGTCAGTCACTGCCAGTGATTGCGGGCTGATGAAGAGTCCCAAATAGGAAGAAACGGTGCGTAGTACTTCCAGGTTTTCCAATGGTTCTCTAACCGATGTCAGCTGATCATGAAATCCTGTAACCAACCAATCAAATCCCTACATATATGTATAATTGGTAGTCAAAAGCAGTCATCATTTTGTCACTCGCTGTGAAAACTAATCAGGTTTGCCAACAGAAAGTAACAACACTTAGAATTCTTCTGTTCTAGCCCAGAATAATATTTATTATTAGCAATATCAATAAATATTGTGTTTACCAAGTAAAATTAGACAAAATTTTCACCGAATATGCAAAACAAAAATGATTGTTGTTTTGAAGATGATGAATGAGAAAACTTCAAGGACCCATAGCCGATGTCTTTATCATCATGAAGGTGACATTTGACAACGAGTTATTGTTCCATCAGCATACGGTCTTCCATGAGCGCTAATCATATAGACAAAGAAATACAAAAGACAACAAATGATGATTACACTTCAGGTGAATGAATAAAATATTCAAATGACCTGAATAATTTGAGGATATTAGATAGGTGGAGGCAATCGGCAGGAAGACTTGGACCTAGGTTTCGTGTTAGTAAGCACTCTTTCACAAGGCTTATATGCAGCCTTGTAGGAACCACTAGGAAACAAGAGTTTACTGGTTGATAGCTGTTTCAACCCATTTTAAGGTGCTTCAGCAGCCTGCAGATATATACCTACAAGTACTTTCAGATAACTACACGATCCTCTTGACAATTCAAACTCTCGAGCGGAAGGCTATGGTTAACGGATTCTAACCCCAGCCATTTCTTGATATGTAGCATCACAGGCAGTCAGTGCTATCAGCAAGTATCTGTAATCACACCTGACTTGGTGGACTTCAATAATCAGTGCTTCACACCAAAACTTTGTGCACTCTTTCTTGCAATCAGTCACTAATATGATGCAGGTTAAATTTAATTTGCTGTAAGATTTCGTTTAAAATCTCAGCTGTTATCCCGATGATGCCATTTCGTGATCCGACGTGAAATGAATCACATTCATGCGAAGCATTACTGGGACTGATGCAGTTTTTATGAGATTCTCCAGTATCTTTGGTTTATTCACTCTTATTCAGAATGTCAAGCTTCTATTCCATATTTTTTTCCACAATAGTTTTTCAAGTGGTGTGTAAAAAACGATTACCAATTTTCTAAATATTAAACTACCCACTACTTATGTCCACTGCTATAAGTAGGATACCTGATTGCAAGAGAAAAAAATGTTAATTAAGGATAAAATAATCATGATTCACATAATGTAAATTATTATCACTACAGCCGTGTTTATGCTTGGCTAAATCAAAACGGTAACTCAAAACCACTCAGGGGATAACTGCAGAAAAGAGAAAGTATGTATATGGTTTAGTAGTGGGGCTAGAAATTCAGTAAAACATATGAAAGTCAAATTAATTAATAAAGATAAAAGCCTAAGTTAGGCAGATGAAATTCAACCTGGCATTATCTGAGTCAAAATCAGTGATCTCAAGCAATGTTAATGCTGTAACAGCGAATTTACTAAAGAATTTGTCTCATGATGAAAGTACCTGCATTCAGGCGTCCTATTAAGAGCCTCTAGAAACATATCACTTCATCAAGAGTGGATATTTCTAAAGTGTTTGGAAACAGGAATGAAATTATTATTTACAGGACTATTATTATTCCTTTGGGTTCCAAGCGGAAAATAGAGATTCAGCCGGGTATCATTTTTTCCGGAAGTCTTTTCCAGCTGGTCCCACAACAGCCCATATGCTTTCATTTCCTTCTCACACCATTTCCTCCACTTCATTCTCAGAACCAGAACCAACTCTTCACTCCATATTTGTGTCCCACTCAAGGGAGTGGAGTAAGATATCAGTCAAAGAGGGTCTTCTCAACATGTGACCAATCTACAGATTGACATAGTTTTTTTAAATATTTTCTCTCTCTCTCATTTTTAACGGTTTGTTAATTCTGTTGTCTAGGTCTCTTCATCAGTCAGCACTGTAGTTCTGTGCAATTCCCAGTATTCTCTTAACCTTTTTCACTTCATGACAAAAGACGTTCATCATGTGAAATAATTTCCTACGAACTGCTTAACTACACTGTTCTACCAAATATGATGAAAAGTTTTCTGTGCATTATTTACAGTACTTCTAATGGTGCCCTACACGTTGGCTAATTTCTCTGCAGTAACCACATTGGTTGTGACACAACTGATTGCAACCGATAGCTCGAAAACATAGTCCTGTTTTATGCACATACAACAATAGAGTTTTCAATATAATTTGAATTCGCCTTTGTGTTTATGCTAACATTGTGGTGTTATTCCTTCCTGACAACACTTTATAAGTAGTAAAGTGTATTAGTGACCTCTTCCAAAATAATTTTGAATAAATGAGTCACAGATTAGGCTGTGTGGAAGAGGAAAAAAGATAACTGTAAAACAGTATAGAAAGCATGAAATGAAGACAATCAAAGGGGAGCAGAATACAAACACATTTTGCAGATTGCAGTTTCAATATAAAGTTTTTACATTTAGCCATTATCGTATGTTGTTTCATCAAATAAACAATGCCACTATCAACTGCCACCATCTTTAAACTTTTAAAAACTTCAAATTGAAACTATGTATTCTGTCTCTTTTATGGTTATTTCGTGCTTTCTATACCACCTTACAATTAAATTCATTCATCACCCCGGTTTTTAACTTAATTTATTGCTCTGCTGTTCGAAATTTCTGTGCAAGACATCCCCAATACACTTCTCTACCTATAAATTGTTATCAGTGGTACCCTCTACAACATGAACATAATTATAACCGTAGAGACTGAAGAAGATTCTCATTTCAACCTCCCAGCTCAGAGTACACAAAAACATCAAGAATATTCATATGGACTATAAATCTTTAACCCGATATCATGAAGAATTGGTTATTGAAAATGCTTGTCGGTTCCTAATTATCCACCTTCTGAATATACACAATGGAGATATTTAAATTACTAATAAGGAAAGTGGAAAAAAGGCAAACGAAAACGAAACAGAACAAATAGACACAACTTACGCTAGTGCATAGTTACAAACAACTATGTACTTTTTTGAATCGATGTTTTCATTACATAAATGTGCACCACAGCCTATATGCGTTGTATTGGCGTAAACTATCTAAAATTAAATTAGTTGTGTAGAATTTCTTTTAAAAACTGTTTTCGACGTCAAATATACAAAACATATACATATATGTATATATATATATCTGTTTCGTCACGAGCTGGGGTATTAGAAAATTCAGAAGTAATGAACAATGAACTATTCCATCCCAGTTTGGAAAATCTTCAGAAGTGACCACTCATAATCCCCTAAGACCGGGATTCAAATGCACACTGAAGTTGATGCAATTCTCTACAAAACTTAAAGTCAAAACATTAGTCTAGATTTCATTATTGGTGACTGTAGTATAAATATTCTGAAGTTCTACTGAGAGGTCGTGGTCGGTGGGATCCACTGTAGGAAGTTGAAGAGGCAGCTCATTGATGGTGTTGGTTATAGACAGTGGTATTTCATGAAATGATCAAAGTTAGAATTTATGGGTCAGTTGATTGTAAACCAGTGATTGAGTGACCAACGAGTTGGCCCTGCCACCTGATGGTTCCGGGTCTGATCCTCAGTTGGTTCAAAGGTGCTCACTACTGAAGAGTCACAAACAGCAGCGAAACAGTTGCTTAGGACTTGCTGTTATTTTAATGATTCTCTAATTGATTTATTTATTATTTGATGAAGAGGCAAAGCATTGGGATAATTCAAAATCTCTGCAAAGCTTAAGTCCTGAAAACAATTACAACTCAAAATTTCACAAATGTCATGTCCAGAGATGATGAAGATACCAAACCAGCAACAACAGCAACAACAACAACGAGCGCCAATCATCATCAGTGGGAGAAATTCGAAGGAAATCAATTCCCTCATATATCTAGAAAGACAAGCACCATGGACGAGGATGTCAAAGATAGCCAGAATAGGAAAAGCAAGGTAGACCTCCATTACTCCAAAATCAGAGTGGAAATTTGCCACTATCAACGTAAAAAACATGATTTGGGTTTTCGGCATTAATGTCAAGTTAATTATTATTCTGCATGACTCACAGATTTGGCGCATCAAAAGAGGCATTTATAAAAGGTTAGTGCAATAGGAGCAATAGCTGTCTGCGTTTCATACAGAAGATTAAATGGATAGCTAACCGTAAAGGATAAGCAGGAAAGAACTCTGGAATTCAAGCCTTCAACCAACCAACCAACCAAGGACGTATTTTCCGACAGATATTCTATAGGAAATGGGGATAGATCAAACACACCCTGTGGAGACCATTCAGTGACAGGTCCTCAAGTAGACCTGTATGGGAAACAGAGGGTTGGATGTGAGTTTGAAGTTAACATATATAGTATCGTGTATATGGCAGAAATGAAGTCTTTGAGTCAGTCATGCACCCGACTAAAAAGGATAACAGTGAACACAGTGAAATGGCAACATACCGCTGAACGTCTCCATAATTATAAATAACCAACTTACCTGTTTGAAACTATCACAATAATACTCATCATTTTCTTTTGTGCATAAATCATCTTTATACTCATAATATCGAGCACCATCTCTCCATAACGCGGGGGCACTAAATTAAAAAAAAAAAACAAAATTCACAAGTTTTATATGAAACAAAAAGAAAAATAATATTTAGCTTACTCTTTAATTTCACCAACTTCCGCAACATTTTGACCAACTGACTTCCATTTGCAAGTAGTTCTCTCATGTGGACTACTAATAACATTTCTACACCTTTTAGCATACATTTGAGCAGTGATAGCCAATCCATCATCCCATATCTGTAAAAAGGTGAGGGAGGGGGAGATGTTCACAACAATTATTGATATAATATATATATATATAGCTGTACGTAATAAGTAAATGACAAGTGAGGGTAAAATTACAATCTAGGTTACACCTAAATTTAGACCAGTAGTCAACAGGCTAAGCTGAGAGTATATTTCTGATCGTCTCACTGGAAGTTAATGGCTTGCTCCTTCTCTTCTGACTCAGTATAACTTAGATTGGTGCTGTACTCTCCCCATTTGTCCTTTCTTTCTTTCTTTCTACATGACCTACCATCTTCAAATGACATTAATTTTGTCAAATATGCTGATGACCTAAATGTATCTTTGCCTGTCAAATGTCAAAAGGGACTGCTCTAAACTAAATGGCTTTTTATCAGAAATCAGCCAATGGTCCAAGGAAAAGTCTCACCTTAAACCCCTCCACATGCCAAACAGTCAATTTCACCTTTAGGCACAAATCTGACCTAAACAAACTAGTTAGCACTCACGAGGTGTGCAACATTGATGGGACTGAATTAGAAACCAAGTCAGAAATTAAATACCTAGGAGTCACTCTATCTTCTGATCTTTCCTGGTCGTCTCATATCTTGATGATTTCTAAGAAAATATTCCGTCTCACCTACTACATCAAGAAGTTAAGACTTTCTGGTATAACGCAACCCTTACTCCTACAATTCGTTAACTATCGCATTCTGCCTATTATTCTCTATTGTTCCCCCTTAGTTTTTCCTGGGCTACTGAAGAAAGACTATACCTTATTACGCAGGATGTTAAAGGTTGTCAGCAGGGTAAGCAACATGCCAATTAACCAGCTTGTTAATATGCTGGTTGGTAGGCACATGGACTCATGTGAAAAATGGGCAAAATCCATTTTATCTAACTCATACCACCCTCTTCATTCACAACTCTCCCCTTGTATCTCTTTAGGGAAAACCAGAAGCCTATATAGAGAAATTTATGCTCGCACTAGTAAGTACAAAAACTGAACCATACCCTACTTAGCTCGTGTTCTGTGCGATAAGGAAAGAAAGCATCAGGCGTGATACCAAAAACTTATTAAGTAGTCAGTAGAACAACTGGATCTTGTCTTTCCAACTTTCTCTTCCATTTCTGTCTGTTATGTGCAACTTTGTTTCTTTCTTCTGCTTACGCCAGTAAATATGCTAGTAGTATCTACTTTTCTAACACCTTCAAACACCCTGTTCAATTTTGACTTTGCTACCGACATGCCAATATGTTGTTGTCATAATGAACTGAAATTTCCTTAATCTATGTAGAATTCTATTTATTGTAAATGTACTAACTGGATGCAATACTGTAGTAAAATGCTGAGAATTCCATTCTGTATCGCAAGTACTGTTTTGGAATAAAGCAAATTATTATTATTATTATATTGAAATGATAAGGTCTGGTTGAGGAGTTATAGTATGATAACACTGATCGGGTAGTGTAGGACTGTCAGACTAGTAATTTTAGAGGTTACTGATTCGAATCATGTCATGAAATGGAATATTCTTATAAAATAAAATATCAAATACAGAAAAGAACAGCTCTAAAAGTTGAGACTTACTAAATCTGTCAATTCAGTCTCTGATGGTGGCATATACGTGTGTTCGCATTTATTTCTTGATTGTCTGATAAAATTATGTCTGTGAAGAAGAACTGCTTTATATTTCGATATATTAATTTCACTTCCAAGTATCAGTGGAATCAAAAGTTTGAAAGTAATACTTGCTAGGAGCATTTTACACACACACACTCACACACACGCGCTGATGTAAAGGCAGTTCAGTGAATTCATTCCATTTGTGAATTTATAGTTTAATAGAGTTGAATGGAGAAAATGCAGGCCAGTACCGTCAACAAGAATAAATTTTCAGTTGTTTGCTTTTTTCATTCACTCATCAGTGACTGACAGATATGTACTGGGATTAGAATTCAACAGGTAACAGACAGGAGGATATAAACAAAATTTGTTTTTACCTATAACAACATACAACTGTGAAAATAGAGTGAAATATTAATTCTTTCCATTTTGTCCACTTGGCAAAGATGTTATGAAAATGTTTTTCAAAAATCTGGGGAAAAATAATAATGTATTCAATCAGATTTTATAGTTTTATGTGAAAACCCGATTGATTGATTGATTGAAATAGTTGGTTTGTGTAGGGAAACCGGGGATCGGTTAGGGAATTATTGGAAATCTAAAAGGCACTGGATAGCCGTTTTCGATATGGTTTGAAATTCTTCTGCGATAACTATTTGTGTGATTCGGTTATAGATCAAAATCTAATCCAATGGGTAGAAGGTAAATGTGATCGAAATGTAGCCTGGATGTTAAGGAGTTGATAATCTCCAATTGGATATTTGATTCCTGAACAACACATTATGTCTTTGTTTATTATATTCTTTTAATTTTTTATTTTACTTTATTTTCTATTGACAGTAGTTCATTTCCCTGCTTTTCTACCTTACTGCATTCCAAAGGTAAATTTGAAGGCATTGGAATCCATGATCGCAAGCGAACCAGTGCCCTTAAAATAACCTTAATCGATTTCAAAAGGCGAATTCAAGTCGTTTACTCAATCCTAACATTAACTTTTCCATACCTAACCCTAATCTATCCCTTATGTAATCCTAATCCTCCTCTTTCCCTTAATCCACTCTGATATGGCTCTAAACACCTCTGATCCTCACATCAGCCTACTCCTGAACTGTTCTCACCATAACTCTAATTATAAACCACCCAGATATCCTTTTTGATATCAGGATTACATCGGGAACTGATGTCGGTCACAGGAGCATTGAAAACCATCTGAGAGTTCTTGACAGCTTTTCGTTCCTAGTTTGGGACTCTTCAACAGTGCTCACTCACCACTCCGACTCGAACCTAGATCCTTCGGGTTACAAGGCGAACTCATAGACCGTGAAGCCACTGGGACCCGGTCCAATGACCAATGAATTCCATCTTCTGCCAATTCATGATATGGCGCAACCACTAGCGAATATCATCGGCCAGTATTTGTCTTTCCGCCCAACCTGCTGTACTCTACTGGTCACGACTTCCCACTAGAAATCAGGTAACTACCTATCTGAAGAATGCCAGTCACTAGTGAGCATCACATCGATATCCTTAGACTTTTTTTTCATCATTTTTCTACCAATATGGAGTCTTTTATTCTGATGTCACCAGCTCACTGTTCATTTGCATTTCAATTTCATTAGTGCATTCCCACTACTACATGGCTGCTCTTTTTAATTCTCCATTCCTTTTATGCATGTTTCACAATATGAGTTCATGAAGTTGAAACCGAAATTGCTCCAGCATATCTCGTGAAGTAACGTTTTATTCAGTTGAAGGAATTGAAGAAAAATGAGAAGAACATGACCAGATAAAGGTGCGGGGATTGTAATTATGGATCAGAAAGATTTATATTGAGAAAACGCAAAACATCCTGTCAGATGAGACAAAATTTCAGAAACCTGAACGTGAAAGGAACTAGACAGAAATGATGGAGAAACAAATCACACAGGTTTCGAAACAAATGAAGATTGATTCAATATTGACAACCGAGCTATATGAAAGGTTGAAACCTTATGGATCGATCATTCCTCGATTCTACTACCAGCTGAGAATTCATATATCTTGATTATCAATGCGTCCCACTTTAGATTTTGGCAGGTTCACTGTATCATTTTATCTCAAAGGGGGATAGGGAACTCTTGGAACCAACTAAGAAAACAAGTCTTTACCTATTCTTTTTTGATGACATTTTTGAATTTGTTAATTGCTTTGATGATTATTAGTATTACTGGGAAAACTATGTTATCACTTGATGTATGCTCAATTTTTACCAATGTTCCATTAAGTGAAACTGTATGGTTCATTTGTAATTACATAGACTTACACAATAAAAGGTGAACGTAGGAGTGTTCACATCCTTCCTAAAAGAGCTCATATTTGGTGTACTCTAAATATTCAATTTCACTTCAACAATGAAATCTAAAGACAGGGAAATGAGTTAGCTATGGAGTTGTCAATTAATCCATTGCTAGCAGAATTCTTTTCGCCTATATCGGAGAGCGATACTCTCACACCTGCTGTAAAGGAGCTTTATTTCTACAAAAAGATACGTGGATGACACGTTGATTACATGGGATGACAACTGAGACATGGATGATATCCTGAGAGTATTCAATGACAATCATTCTGCTATCCACTTCACATTCGAAGAAGAAGATGAAGGAAAAATATTTTCCTTGATGTGCTACTCACAAGGAGAGCTGACACGTATCTGAAAAGATTTATTCACAGAAAATCCACTTGGACGGGACAACTGACCAAGTTTTAAATTTTTCCCCATAGACAGAAAAAGAATCTAATCCGTTCTCTGTCAACAGGTGTGTGTCGATAATGAACTCAAATAACTGAAAGAAATTTTCATAGAGAACTAGTATCTACTACGCTTTGTAGAGGCCTATAGCAAATTACGTGGAAGAAACACATAGACTGACAAGGTAGCTGAAAAGTATTGCAACTAAACTTAGAATTCGGAGGTGACACTACAAGTGTGATAATTAAAAATCTTCTGACGAGATCACTGAGAAAAACGTCCTTTGCTGACACTTTACAAATAACCTACCCCAGCAGTCCACTGCTTCACCTCAATTTCAAGGAAATGCCACCTCTATTGTCTAATTCCATGTATATATTCACCTGCTCTTTTAGAGCTAGTTACTTAGGACGTTCGTTCCCGCCGTGTTCGAGAGCACCTCCCAGTTTGGCTGAACAGAGGAGAGCGTAGAGGTATTAATTCATCGATATCGCAGCATATTATGGACACTCATCACACAGTATCTGATATATCGTTTAATATATCCCGAATAGTTCGATGAAGTTTTCTGAAAGGGACACGAGTACATTTCCAAATGTACTTTATTTACATGACTATTGAACTTCAGGTTGACCTCTATTTATTTAGTTATTCATTTGCATATCTAATGAACTGTGAAAGTAAATGGAAATACTAAAGTACGATAATACTGATGTACAGGAGTGTACAGCTATGAAAATGAAATAGTTGAAGAGAGAATTTCCCTCTCTTAAGTCTTTGTTTTGATGTCTCAATGGGGATTATTAATTTGATATGAAATTATAAGAAACCTTAATCCACCTTTCATTGTTCAGTTATGTTCAAAAAGTCTAATCTGGTTGTGAAAAGAAACATCGAGTTAAGCATTAATGCTGAATATTTGAATTCATGACGCTATATACTACTAATGAACTGATATGAGTAGCTGGAAATGAATCACATTAGCTAAGAGTTATTGTCAGAACATTTAAAAAAACAGCATGCTTAGACTTCGTCGAAGCGTCCATATTCGTAGCCAGCATGTCAATAGAGACTGAGATTTTCAATCCAGTATAATCAATCAACGGGAAATGCAAATCAACCTAAAAACAAATCATAACTGATACCGAGTGTACAAGAGGCGATCTAGATGGATTGTTGGGTAATGATTTAGTGTTTAAATGGATGGGCATGGTTTTCGAGTCTTAGGGAGAACACCATTATACCATGGAGATGGAGATACTTCTAGCTGACGAGTAATTCAAATAATGCTCATGTTTAAATGATATTAGAGAAAATGTCATAAATCAAGGCATCAAAAATATCAACAGTACACCATTCTCAGTTCAAGTCATCCTCAGTTTATGTACATGTCGAAGAAGAAAACAAGGTAAGCAAAATATAGGGGAAATAAAAAGCCACTAGTTTATGACCTTAACTGACAAGTGAAGGAGACTATAGTTCGTAATGCTGCAATTGGCTTAGTGACTCGAAATCACCAAAATGGAGGATTATGCAACCGACATAATGGAAACCAAACTGAAGTTGTCAGCCAACCGAGAGAGGGATCGTCACACTCTATTTCTATATATATGCAAATGTTTGATTACAATGGCTTTGACAAATCGTGATGAATTTGACACACCCTGCATATTTTATATTCCGAAAGATTTAAAAGATTTTTGAAATATGCTTAGAAAACTGGATAGAAGCCTTTCTCTCTGTCTTTTCAGCGTACTCTCTATCGCAAGTGTATGTAAATATATAAATACAGTTGGAGTAGACAGAGCAGTAGGGTACTCACCTAATTTAGACTGGCTTACTGAGCATGTGTTAGTGCATAGTGATCCATAGTGTGGCTCATGGTCAGTGACTTAGAGATGCGAATGGTCGTTAAGATACATAATGGTAATAAAAATTTTGACCAAGTGATTAGCAAGAACTTTCATGGTGTCGACTGATTCACCTCTCCAAGCTGAGTCTAATCGATTGAATGGTAGATCGACGCGGTTTAAAACGAAAAGTAGACGACCATCAAATGTTTAGATCATTTCGATCTGGTTAGCTACACTACTGGTTAATGTGAGTGGTTTTTACCTACTCATATCAACCAATCAGTAGTATATGTCATTGTGCAGTAAAACTTCTTTCCTCGATTATCATCTATGGTAGACTGGAGACCACAAGTTGCTTTCTGAATATTCTGCATTTCCAGTGGAAAATATGTTGGATATTCGCCTCAAACTGTCTAACTCAAGACGGACAACTTCATTTTGTTCACACTGAAGTAAACAGTGTAACTGTCCATTTATGGGCACAATGTGATTCAGCCAATAGTGTAAATAACATGGACATATTCAAGAAAAAAGTGTTTACGTGAGAATATAGTAGAGTTTTATAATAAAAGAAAGGTATATAAATATGCTAAAATCGTTTACACTGTGGTGAGATAAATGAATAGGCTACATACACTGTTAACTGTTCTGTTAGTTGAATTGGGAGATGCCGTTTTCTGTTCACAAGATGGCGGACAAATGAATCAAATGCTGAGTATGTATAATGAGAGCAGAGAAGGGCAAAATAAGCATCAAGAAGGATGGATAGTACCGGAGAATGTAGGACTGAAATCACTTGTAAGTTGGAAGTTTCTCTTGCTGTGATTGCTCTATATATATTATATACATATATTCACTGTTTATTTTTCAATAAAAGATATGGGA